TCCTGTCTTTCACTATGGTGTAAAGATGTGGTGCTTTGAATTGTGGCAGCTGTCATGTCACAAGCATGAGGACAAAACAGCAAGATAAACAAGAAGAAAGATCAGAAGAGCCTGGGTCCTTGATGACACTGTTGATATGCCCAACAAACCAAAGGGCTGTCTGTCTCCAGACTTTATTAGATAAGTAAATGTGCTTATGGTTCAAGTCACTGTTAAGTTTTATATTACTTTTAAATTAGTACATCTCAAATGATTTGAAGGTAAAATGATTTGTCCACAGCAAAGATGGTACTCAGCCCATATGTATCTAGCTACAAAGCTCTTGTATGTATTTTTAGTGCACCACTGTACCTTTTAGCAAGTCACATATACTCTTTGAGCCTTAGTTGTCTCATCTTTAAAATGAGGCTCATGATACCTTCCTGGTGGGACTGTTGTAAGAGCCAAATGAAATAATGTATGTGTGAGCTCTTTACAAAGTACAGACTACAAGACAAGTACAAGCTATCTGAATAAAAAGATTTTTGAAGGAGTGCACTATTTCAATTCATTTATTTTCTCTGCACTTTCCAGTGGTGCTGAAGTAATTTACAATCAGAGATGTTCTGAGCAAAATTCACATTTCATTATGGACTTCTTTTTAAGAGTTTGGTAACAGCAGTTTGAAAAATAGACATATTTTTTTCCTCTGGAAAAGTTCAGCTTTGTAAATATAGATGGCTTTAGAGATAATGACCATGTATATAATAGAAACATTTGTAAGGTTTTTTTAATCATGAAGAGTGATGTGATATTTACAACAGATTTTTGTCAAGTCAAACAGCTTATTCCATTAGGTTCATCCTAATATCTAGCATGAACTAACCTCTGATGGCCTTTCCTTGGTCCCAGAATCCCTTATCAACCATGTGGGCACCTCACTGTGGTACACAATGTTATGTGCAAAGAGTTAAAACCTGAAACAGAGGCGACTGTCCCAAACTCGTTCTATGAGGCAAACATCACCCTGACAACAAAACCAGACAAAGACACAACAACAAAAATAAAACTACAGGATAGTATCATTGAAGAATATAGATGCAAATACCCTCAATAAAATGCTAGCTAATAGAAAACAGAAACACATACGTAAAATTATACACCATGATCAAGAGGGATTCATCCCAGAGAGGCAAGGTTGGTTCAACATATGCAAATCAATAAATGTGATACACCACATCAACAAAATCAAAGACAAAAACTGTATGATCATCTCTATAGATGCTGAAAAAGCATTTGAAAAAATTCAACATCTGTTCATGAGAAGGACTCTCTATAAATTGGGTATAGAAGGAAAGTATCTCAACACAATTAAAGCCACATATGATAAGCCCACTGCCAATATCATCCTGAATAGGGAAAAGCATTCAGCTTTTCCCTTAAGAACAAGAACTAGACAAGGATGCCCACTCTCATCACTACTATTCAACATAGTGTTTGGAAGTACGAGCCAGAGCAATCAGGGAAGAGAAGGAAATAAAGGGCATTTAGATTGGAAAAGATAAGATCAAACTGTGCCTGTTTGCAGATGGCATGATCCTATATATTGAACAGCCTAAAGACTCTACAAAAAACCTCTTAGAGTTAATGAATGATTTCAGCACAGTTGCAGGATACAAAATAAACATACAAAAATCAGTAGCATTTCTGTATTCTAACAATGAACTGGCAGAGAAAGAAATCAAGAAAACTATCCCATTTATAATAGCCACCAAAAAAATAAAATAACTAGGGGCCAGCCCGGTGGCGCACTGATATAGTGCGCTGCTTGGGAAGTGTGGCGGTGCTCCCGCCGAGGGTTCGGATCCCACATACAAACCGGTTCCGCTCACTGGCTGAGCGAGGCACGGGAGCAACACCGAGGGCTGCGATCCTGTTGCCGGTCCCGGTCCGGTACGGGGGTGACACTGAGGGTTGCAATCCATTGCCGGACACGGAAAAAGACAAAAATAAATAAATAAATAAAATAAAATAACTAGGAATAAATTTAACCAAGGATGTAGCAAATCTCTACAGTGAGAACTACAAACGACTGTTGAGAGAAATTAAAGAAGACACAAGAAGATGGAAAGATATTCCATGCTCTTGGATTGGAAGAATTAACATTGTGAAAATGTCCATACTACCCAAAGTGATCTACAGATTCAATGCAATCCCCATCAAAAATCCAGTGATATTTTTCTCATAATTGGAAAAAAAATCATTCCTCACTTTCATATGGAAGAACAGAAGACACCAAATAGCCAAAACAGTCCTGAGCAAAAAAATAAATAAATAAATAAAGCTGGAGGCATAACACCACCTGACTTTAAACTTTACTACAAAGCTATAGTAACTAAAAGAGCATGATACTGGCATAAAAACAGACACACAGACCAATGGAACAGAATCAAGAATCCAGAAATCAACCCATGTACCTACAGCGATCTGATCTTTGACAAAGGTTCCAAGACCACACACTGGGGAAGAGACTGTCTCGTCAGTAAATGGTGCTGGGAAAATTGGACATTCATATGTAGGAGAATAAAACTAAACCCATACCTCTCACATTATACCAAAATCAACTCAAAATGGATTGGAGAATTAAATATACATCCTTAAACAATAAAACTCCTTAAAGAAAACATAGGGAACACACTTGAGGAAGTAGGATTGGGTACAGTCTTTATGAATATGACCCCCAAAGCACAGGTAACCATAGGAAAAATAAACAAATGGGATTATATCAAACTAAAAAGCTTCTGCACAGCAAAAGAAACAATCAACAGAGCAAAAATACATCCAACAGAGTGGGAGAAAATATTTGCAAAATATACATCAGACAGAGGATTAATAACCAGAATATACAAGGAACTCAAACAACTTAACAGTAAAAAAAAAAACAAAAAAAAAAAAACAAGTAACCTAATTAAAAAATGGCCAAAGGAGCTGAATAGGTATTTCTCAAAGGAAGATACACAAATGGCCAACAGACATATGAAAAAATGCTCAACATCACTCAGCATTCAGGAAATACAAATCAAAACCACTTTGAGATACCATCTTACTCTGGTTAGGATGGCTAATATCCAAAAGACTGAGAATGACAAATGCTGGTGACATTGTGGAGAAAAAGGAACCCTCCTACACTGTTGGTGGGACCGTACAATGGTGTAGCCCTTATGGAAAATAGTATGGAGGTTCCTCGAACACTACAGATAGATCTACCATATGATCCAGCTATTCCACTGCTGGGTATATACCCAGAGGAATGGAAATCATCACTTCGAAGAGATATCTGAGCTCCCATGTTTATTGCAGTGCTATTTACAATAGCCAAGAGTTGGAACCAGTCTAAATGCCCATCATTGGTTGAGTGCATTAAGAAAATGTGGTATATCTACACAGTGGAATACTACTCTGCTATAAAAATAAAAATGAAATACCACCATTTGCAGCAACATGGATGGACTTAGATAAAATTATGTTAAGTGGAATAAGCCAGGCACAGAAAGAGAAATACCACATGTTCTCACTTATTTGTGGGAGCTAATACAAATAAATTAGTAAATAAACACATAAACTGGTGGGGGTAGGGAAGAAGAAACAATCACAACAACTCCTTGATTTTATTAACATATGAACAGATATGATGTTGATGGAGGGGAGGGGGAAGACGGAGGGAGGAAAAGGAGGAATTGATAAAGGGACACAAAAATCAACTATATTACTATATTGTATATTGATAAATTAAAATTTTAAAAACTAGAGTTAGTGCTTGTATCCCTTGATATCCCTGGGCATTATTCTCTTTATTTTTGAAATACAGAGGTAGGAAGGGGGTGGGATAAATAATTGCTGTATTTTCTTTCAGCCACAGGATCATGTCACTCTCCTACCTCAAACACTCCAAAGGGTTCCTAGTGCACTTAAAAAAATGAAAATTCCTCAACATAGACTTGAAGTTCCTATATGGTCTGGCCCACATCTTCCTTTCTGACCTCACTGTGTACCAGTTTCTGTCTCATTCATGTGAAAGCAGTTGCATTAACCTCCTTGGTCTTCTTTGAACATGCCTCGTTCATTCTCACCTTGGTACTGTGTGCTAGCTGTTTCCTCTCCCCAGAAGGCATCTCTTTAGAAAGGTTTTTCCCTGCTTCCGAATCTGAAGTCGTCACCCAGTCACTCTGTATCACATCACCCTAACTTAATTCTTGTCATATTTTCCTATCTAGATTCCTTATTTATCTATATACATACCTCGTTTATTATTTGTTTCACTAATTAAAAAGTAAGGAACATGAGGGCAAAGACTTTTGTCTATTTTGCCACATCAATGGTGCCTACAATCACGCCTGCCTCTTTGCAGGTATTCAATAAGTAATTGCTGAATAAATGAATGGTTGCATAAAATAAGGTGTAAGCACATACAAAGTGTCTGCTGACTATCTGCTTCCAGTTTCTGTAGCCCTGGCTGCAGTCCAAATTTAACACCACACCTAGGTTCAGGGACCAAGAAAGGACCTGAGGCAGGAACAATTAAGAAGCTCCAGACTTGTAAACCAGTACTCAGCATAAAGCCTCTGCCTTGCTGGTCTTTTTGATCCTTACTTCTAATTGGGATTCTCGACCCTCCCTTGTTCCCCATCTGTCAGTCTTCCCTTGAACAACCTTACTAGCTCAGACCCTCTAGGACAGAGGCCACATTTCAACCTTCTCGGTTTTTCCTCTCCTATTCCCAAGACCACCTGGTTTCTGAACCTCAAGTGGGTGGGCCTTGCTTTAGTTAACATATTTCCCTAATGCCAAAGAGCCCTCCTGGGCCTCTGCATTCCGCATCTCTTGAGATACCCCATTATCTCATGGAAGCCTTCCCTGATCCTGATCATGCTAGGCTGACTTTTTGCTGGAACTGTGACTGCCACTGCATACTCTTTGGATCCCATGTTTTAACTGCTGGATGAGTAATAGATGGGGCTGACTCTCCTAATCATGGTCCCTCTTAGTTGCCCAGGACCACACTGTTGGCAAGTGACACACCATCCCTATTGGTCCCAGTACTCATTTTCTTGGCAATCCATGGTGGGAAGGCTGTGAGTATAGAACACAAGAACTATGGAGCTAATGGGAAGGGATTTCAAGTTAAGTAGTGGCTTCCATGTTACTTGGCTTCTGGGTCCTCTTAAGCTAAACTCTGTCTCTGAGTTAGAGGGCCAAGAAAGCCAACCCAAAAGAGCTCATTGCTTATATAGCTCGACCATGTGCCAGGAACTCTTCTAAATGCTTTCCATGTAATAGCTCATTCAATTCTCTAAACAACCATATTAGGAATTATTATTAGTTCCATTTTGCAGATGAGGAAACTGAGGCACAGATGCCAAGGAGTTTGACCAAATTCACACAGCTAGTGGCTATACCAGGAGCTGAAGTGGTAAAGAGAATGATAAGACAAAGAGTTAGCTTCTGCCCAGAGGGTACAGAATAATCACAATCCTTCATGTGTGACCAACCCTTAACAGTTTAGAAAGCACTTTCACACCTATTATTATTTGATCTATACAACATCCCTGTAAGGTAAACAGTATAGGGATTATCATCGTTATTTTGTGGGTGTGAAAGCTGCAACATGGTCCTCCTTTGCCAACAGTGTCTTCAGTACCTCTGAGGACAACTAGCTGCCATTGTTTCTGTTCTAGCATGAGAGGGAGGACGATCTAGCATGGCAGAAATATCCTGGTGCACTAAGGTGCACAGAAGAGGAAACAATACTCAGATTACAATTCTTGAAAAACAGATGGCATAAGGTAGTAAAATTAGCATTGGAATGACAACTGGGGGGTATGGATTCTAATCCTGGCCATAGGGTAATCAGTCATTTCAGTGTGCTGATGACTAAGAGGTTTCCCAGGACACAGAACTTCCAGTGCTAAAACTGAAACAGTCCCATGCAAACTGGGATGGCTGGTCACCCTACTTGGCTCTTCTTCTTTCAACCAATGATCTTGGATGAATCACTTTATCCTTTGTGGCCTCAGTTACCTAATCTGAGAAAAAGGGACAGTATGTTCCTCACCTATCTTATATAGCTCAGGTTAGCTAAGGTGTATAAAACCATTCTGAAGGCTTTGAAGAGCTATGCAAGGTGAGACAGAGTTAAGTATGCAAAGAGGAAGTCTTCTACAAAGAGGAATTTTTTTTTTGACCAGTAAGGGTATCGCAACCACACGGTGTGGTCTGCACCACGCTCAGCCAGTGAGCGCACCGGCCATCCCTATATAGGATCCAAACCCACCGCCTCGGTGCTCCCAGTGCCACACTTACCCAAGTGAGCCATGGGGCCGGCCCACAAAGAGGAATTTTTTTTTGACCAGTAAGGGTATCGCAACCACACGGTGTGGTCTGCACCACGCTCAGCCAGTGAGCGCACCGGCCATCCCTATATAGGATCCAAACCCACCGCCTCGGTGCTCCCAGTGCCACACTTACCCAAGTGAGCCATGGGGCCGGCCCACAAAGAGGAATTTTAATGAGAAAGGTTCAAGTAATCAATACATGGGGCTTGTCCTGCTCAAAGAGAAAGTGAGATGAGACATTTTTGCTCACTCCTGACCTCATACCAGGGTGAATTTCAGGTGGTTTCTCAAAGTACTGAAAGTACTAAATGTGTACTACCAGTCAGAAGAGAGGTGAGTGTGTAGTCTCAGGTGTACCTTGAGAGGCCACCACACTCCCCTTGAAAGTTCTCAGTGGAGATGGGGTGGGTGGTAAGTCATCTTGGTTGTTATTCTTGCTTAAGTGCACCTTTTCCAACCAACTAGGACATTTTTCCCCATTCTTTCATTCATAGGAAAGTAAGCTACAAAATCTATTTTTCTTTTTTTTTTTTTTTTGTCCCTTTTGAGACCAGCCGCACCGCACTCAGCCAGTGAGTGCACCGGCCATCCCTATATTGGATCCGAACCCGCGGCGGGATCGCTGCTGCACTCCCAGCACCACACTCTTCTGAGTGTGCCATGGGCTCAGCCCCTACAAAATCTATTTTTTCACAAGATAAACATACCCTCTCCTGTGTTGTTTTGGTTATTGGCCCATGGTGTCAGCCTCAGTGGGCACTCTCCCCTCCCCTTACTACCCACCTTTCTCACTAAGTACAAAAACCGTCAGTAGTCACACAGCCCTCATAACAAGAGCATTCAACCATGAGAAAGGGGCCAGCATACTAGTCTGTACAATTCTCCTGTGTCTTGCTGACAAAACCAGAAAAACATTGGCAGGTGCCAAAGAGTGGTCCTCATTAGATAAGCTTCTGACAGACATCTGAAATCTCCATGGCAGCTATTGCTGGCCTTTGAGGGTCTGAGACACCATATTTCATGTGGTTTCCAGAGCCCCAACCACCTAATAAACATCATGTGGCATGGCATAGGTGCCATTAAATCTGACACATCCCTGTAACCCTGGATATGGGACCTCTGTCTAGGAAAGGTATACTTATTGACAAATCTGCTTATCAGAACCTAGGGAATGAACAGAGGGCTTTTTGTACCACTATTTTTTTTTTTTTTTTGTCAAAGTGTTACTTCAAAGTATACAAATTAAATTGTCTTTCACTAAAAACTTAACAAATTGCCTTTAAGAAAGAGAACAAAATCACAGACTCTGGACTATTCTGAAGAAGTCAGGGCATATGGGTAAAGCTGCCTAATATGGGTTAAATGTCATTATCCAGGAAAAAGTCAGACCTTATATTAAACTTTTCCCTGTGGTCAGCAGCATCCTATAGCAGATGTAAGTGCTCTTTTACTTTAAGAGAAGGTAAGAGACAATAGCTGGGTTTTGAGAAAATCAGAGCTACTCTAATGTGTCCTATAACTGCAGCTAGAAACTCCTCTAAAATATTACAGAAGATATGGCTGAATCCTCCAAACTGCTGACTAAATCAACAATATAGTCAGACCTATAAAATTCCCAAGAGTAGAGACCACTCCACATCCAGTACCTAGCCCTGAACATGGCATAGAGTGGGTACCTCAATAGTTCTTGCTATTTGTTAGCTTGTGAACATGCTATGTTGCCTGGACTATGGTTTCCTAGGCATGTGTCTAGCCACCTTGATTATGTCCCTGTCAGATTATGATTTTCCAAACAATGGTAGTAACCTCTCATCAAGGAAAAGAGTGAAGGTTTTAGTTAGGGACATTGTATTAGTCCATTTCCATTGCTTATAACAAAATACCTGAAACTGGGTAATATATAAAAAAAAATAATTTATTTCTTACAGTTTCAGAGGATGGAAAGTCCAAAGTCCAGGTAACACATCTGGTGAGAGCCTTCTTCTTGGTGCTAACTCTGTAGTGATGCAGAGTATCACATGGCAAAATGGCAGAAGCAGAGACAGAGCTAACTCCTCACTCCTTTTAAAACCCTCAGAACCACACCCATGACTACCATTAAAACCATCAATGGATTGATCCATTTCTTGGGTATGGTCCTAAAAATCCAATCACTTCATCAAGGCTCCACCTTTCAACTACTGTAATAGGATTTCCCACTCTCAACAGTTATAGTGGGACTCAAGCCTCAATGAGTTTGGGAGGACATCCAATCCATAGCATTCTGCCTCTGTCCCCCCCAAACTCATGTCCTTTTCACATATGAATACATTTATTTCAACCCCAAAGCCTTAACTTGTTTAAACTCAAAAGTTCAAAGTCCAAAATCCTGTCTGTGAAATCAAAACAAATTATCTATTTCCAAAATACAATGGTGGGACAAATATAGGGTGCAAATTCCAGTTCAAAAAGGGAGAAATAGGCCACAAGAAAGAGGTAACAGGTCTTAAACAAGTCCAAAACCCAGCAGGGCAGGCATTAAATCTCAAAACTGGTGAATGATGCACCTTGACTCCATATTCAACACTCTCTGCATACTGGTGCAGAGGTTGGGTCTCCAAGTCACTGGCCAGCTTCATTCCTATGGCTTTCGTGGTCTCTGGCCATACTTCAGCTCTCACAGGATGGCATTGTACGCTGGTAGTTCTACAGATCTGGGATCTCCATGGTGGTCCTGCTAGGCATGGCACTGGTGGGAATTCTCTGCTGTAACTTTGAACCCATATTCCCACTCAGCATTGCTTTAGTGAAAGTCTTATGCAGTGACTCTGCCCCTGTAACAGATCTCTTCCTTGATCCTCAAGTTTTTTCACACAGTCTTTGAAATTGAGGTGGAGGCTTCCAAGCCTCCACGGCTCTGGCATTCTGCGAGCCTGCAGGCCTAACACCATGAAGGCACCACCACGACTTCCAAAGTTGCAGGTCCAGCCACACTGGGGGCCAATTTAGCCATGGCTGGAACAGCTGGGGTGCTAGTACTGAAAGCAGCTTTCTGAAGTGGCCCTGAGCAGCGAGCCCATGGAGTGTGCCTTGGGCCTGTTCCTCAAGACCATTCTGCCCCGCTAGGCCTCTGGGCCTGTGATGGAAGGGGAAGCCTCAAATATCTCTGAAATGCTTTCAAGGTCTTTTCCCCCTTCTCTTGATAATCCCTTTCTTCTGTACTAATCTCCTTAGCAAATGGTTGCTGGGCTACACCAATAGATTTTTTTCTACTGAAAATGTTCTCTCATTCTCTATCACATGGCCAGGCTACAAATTTTACAACTTTTTATGCTCTGCTTCCCTTTTAATTATAAATTATGCCTTTATGTCATGCCTCTTCTGCCATAATTCAGTGTATGCTGTTGCAAGTAGCCATGCAGCTTCCTGAATGCTTTGCTGCTTAGTAATTTCTTCTACCAAATACCCTCATTCAACATCTTTAAGTTCCACATTCCATAAAGCTTTTGAGCATGAACAGAATGCAGCCATGTTCCTTGCCAGTTAACAGCAAGGGTGATCTTTGCCCCAGTTTCCAATAAGACCCTTCTCATTTCTATCCAAGACCTGTTTAGAATGGTCTTTACAGTCCGTATTTCTATCAGCATTCTGGTCACCACCATTTAACCAGTCTCTAAGATGTTCTAAATTCTCATCACCAGCATCTAGGCTTTTCCTAGCCTGTTTGTCCAAATTATTCCAGCCTCTGC